CACATTTAGAATGTTGTGATGATGCTCAGGGAATGAATGTAAATTAATAAAAAAAAAATTTTCAGAAGAAAAAAAAAAAGGCATTAGAAATACCTATTTGATGACTGCAGTTAAGCTATATAGCCCTAGTTAGGTGCTACTTTACAGTATGTTCATTCTATTCACTGAGGTTTATGCCTAAAGTCAGTCTTGTGTTCATGGATATGTACATATCAGCTGTGCTTGCTATTGAAAATATTTAGATTTATTAAGATATTTAGTGAAACAATAAAATGGGGGAGGCATAGAAAGCAACAATAGATACCAGACACAGTGTGGGAGGAGGGTGGGAGATGGCAGAGGGTGAGATAGGGAATCAAGGATGGGAAAAAAGGCAAAATATACAGAAAACAATAAATGGAAAATGATTTGTTGACAATAACACATATGTTGATGTGCTTGATTGAGCCAATATACAGTGTATTCTCAATGGAAAAATCTCATTTTGTATGCTATAATGATGTACAGTGAATGAATGTAAATAAAGAAAGAAAAAAATGTAATATAAAAAAAATTAAAAAAAAACTTTTAGAATTATATGATTTCTTCTGATTCTTCCAAACAGATCTTTATTTTTATATCATCAATAACAACTATGTGGGTTTTCTGAATGCATGAGAAAAGTTCCCTGCCAATGCATAAGGAGATAAATACAACATAGTTTCAGCTAAATGTTAAGTAAATGAATAAATGTCTATATCATTTACTTAGCATTTAGTTGGTGTTATGTTGAGTTATAACAGAAAGTGACAGAGAAACAAAATAGTCACTGGTGACACAAAATGGAAAAATCTACTATTTTCCTTATTTTACTTTATCCCCTTGTAAACCCTTTCAGTCTGTATTTGAAAACATCTGATACATGCCAATTCTATGACTACCATGATCAGTTTAACAATGTTGTACTACAATTGAGTATACTATCTGCTACAGTGTTTTAGAGAAGTAATCCATTTAAAATATAAAGATATGGGGCCAGCAGGTAGCATGCTTGCTAAGGATGCTGGACTCCCAGATGGTTGACCACGGTTCAAGTCTGAGACCTGACAGCTTGCTTTCTCACTGTCCTTCTCTCTCACTCTGTCCATCTCTGGTCAAATTAAAAATAAATAAAGTTAAATAAAATAATTCTAAAAAAAGAAAGAAAGAAATACGAAGATACCCAAATACTCCAGAAAACAGTTTGACAAAATCAAGTAAAGTTGAAATAGGAACATAACCTAAGACTTAGCAAATCTACATCCTTAGAGAACTATTTCATATACACACAAATATATATACAAAATGTAGTGGGTTTCTTTTGTTGTTGTTGGTTTTTTTGGGGTTTTTTTTTTTTTTTTTTTTAGAGGTTTTTGCTATAGGGCACGGGCACTTGCCAGAAAGACAGGGAGAGAGAGAGACAAAAAGCGAGAAATCACTCTGCAGGGAGGATGGGCATGCCACAATCCCTTCTCCTCCATTCTCCTCTCAGGATCTTGGGCACGCACACACACACACCTGGCATGAGTTTAAGCTACCGGGTCCAGGACTTGAACCACGGTCGACTACATGGGATTCCAGCCACATAGCCATTATGCCAACTGCTGGTCCCCAAAATGTGTTTATAACATTGTTTATAAGAGCAAAAAACAAAAGCTAGAAACACATTGTTTATCATAGCAACAAACAAACAAACAAAAACCTAAATGTTCAACAGTACAAGAAAAGATAAATTATAATATGTTCATATTAATAGGATACCAGGTAATGGTGAAAATTACCGAACTAGCGCTAGTCATTTCAACATGGATGAATCACACAATAGTGGGTAAAAAAAAAAAAGCAAGCTGGAAAACACAGTATACAATCTAAGTTTTTTAATTACCAAAACAAGTCTATGTATTGCTTAGGAATAGATATATGAGGAATCTTCAAAAAATTCACAGAAAAAGAACATTATAAAAATTCATGGATTTAAAAAAGGTTTTGCACCAACATAAATTTGTACTTTATTTCCATATGTCCATGAACTTTGTGAAGTCCCCATGTACATATAAATACATGGAATATCATGGGAATGACAAATATTACTTTAGGAGAGTGGTTCTTAGCCTCTGAGAGAAGGCGGAGTGAGCAGGAAAAAGTAGGCAAGATCTCCAACGATATAAAAGGATCTTTAAAAAGTTCACAGAAAATGCAAATTATGAAAAAAACCATGCAAGGACTTAAAAACATCTTTTGCACCAAAGATAAAGTCATATTTTAATTCCATTTTCTTTTTTTTTTTCCATTTTCTATTTCTTAAGCCAGCTGATGGGGATACCATCGTACTATCCCTTTATCTTTTTCTAGTCTTAAAGTAATTTTTAAAAGAACGTCAGAAAAACTTATTTTACCTGAGTGATGGATGATCCTATAACTGCTGAGACTTAAAACATTCTTTATTTTAAGATTAAAAGGGAGCCATCAGGTGGCATGGTGGATTCCCATGGATTCCCAATGTGACTGACCATAGTTCAAGTCCCAGACCCGGCAGCTTAAAAACCACAACAGATAAATAGATAAATAAATTTTAAAAAGACTAAAGGTAGACTTTAGGGTACTCACCCAATGAATTCCAGTAATAAAGACATATCAAGTTCAGGTGGAATACGAAACACTGATTCTAGGGCTTTCTTTGATCTTCCTTTGCTTGAAGGCACTGGCTGTGGAACAGCTATTTGACAGTCAAACAAAAAAGTTCACTTAGAGTAAAAACTTCAGACTGAGATCTTTGAAAAATAACCACAGGTATCATAAATACGTCGGCTATTTAAACGATCATAAGCCATTCAATCTCCCTTTCTTTAATAAACTAGCTAGGCTGTCGAAGTCAGTGAAATCAGAGGCAAACCTGCACCCACTCTCCAATGAGGGCAGTTACGTAGGCCGGGTTATCAGGCCCACAGAGAGAGCTCATCAGAACAGCCAAAGGCATTTGCAGGTGACCCCTTACAGGCATGACTGCTGCCAGGGTTCTCACCCAGCATCCTCCATGCATCAGCTCTTAATCCTTATTATAATCCACGATACAGGCACTACTGCTGCTTCTTCTTCTGATAAAGAAATAGAGGCTCAGCAAGACTAGGCAATTTGCCTAAGGTCTCCTAGGCAGTAAGTGGAGGAACCAGAATTGAAACCCAAACCTATCTGACTTCTATTACTGTCATCAAAAATTAATGTTTGAGGGACCAGCAGTTAGCGTAATGGCTATGTCACTGGACTCCCACATAGTCGACCGCGGTTCGCGTCCCAGACCCGGTGGCTTAAAACTCACGCCGGGCGCATGTGCGTGCGTGTCCAGGATCCTGAGAGGAGAATGGAGGAGAAGGGATTGTGACGTAGCCATCCCCCCTGGGGGGTGATTTCTCGCTTTCTGTCTCTCTGTCTCTCTCTGTCTGTCTGGAGAGCGCACGCGCCCTATAGCAAAAACCTCTCAAAAAAAAAAAAATTGTTTGAGCAGTTACTATGTGCTAGACACTTCTAAGTGCTTGCATTACTCAATCTAAGTTTTTATAATGCAGGTGCTGTAATTATTGCTATTTTGTAGAGGACCTTTAAAAACTGAATTATTGTTAATTTGTTAACATCACACAGCTAGTGAAGTGGCAGGACTAGGAACAAATTCAGGAAATCTAGCTCTAGAGCCTGTGCCCTTTAATTCTAATAAACAATTAAATTGGATTCCACCACAGGATCAGCTTCAACATCTGTCTCTGATCATATAATAACCAGTTATCCCAAATAAACCTCAAAGGGCACAGATGTTGTCAGGTTAAACTTCTTTAACCTACAAATACATGATGGTATACAGCCAGACTTACCAGGTTTAGGTACTTCTAGGCCTCTTTCTTTATAGAAATCATGCATCTGATTTTTTTCTCCTAAAAAATGACAAAACACAGACTAAATTACACTTAAAATGTAACTAGTAGAGTCAGGGATTCTGGGATTCACAACCATGTAATAAAAGAAACTTACTTTCCTCTAGATTGATCACTAATTTGTACACTATGTCTTGTAATTGTCGGTCCAACCTAATAAAAGGAAAGGATGGAGAAGACCTCAGAATTTGGAAACATGCATTTGGGTACAGAGTGAGTTAACTGTGAAGTGATTTCTTTTGGTAGTGGGTCTCTACTTTTTCAGAGCAGAGTTACTTTCAGGGAACCCTCAAAGCACCTAAGAGATAACTTACCTGACAGAACCCCATGTAAGTATGTGCAATCATAATTATAAGTACTTATAAATACCTGAGTGGTTCAATAAGTTGTTGCATGTCTATTGATCTTACTCCCTTTAAAAGAATGTATGTACAAGGAAGAGACCATATTTTGGACTTCTGTGTATGTACCATCTACAAAGCACCTTTCTATGAAAGTAGTAAAAACTTGGGACTAGCCTAGTGTAATGGCTATGTCGCTGAACTCCCATGTAGCCGACCACGGTTTGAGTCCTGGACCGGGTGGCTTAAACTCACGCTGGGAGCGTGTGCATGTGTGCCCAAGATCCCGAGAGGAGAATGGAGAAGGATTGCGGAGTGGCCATCCCCCCCCGGGGGGTGATTTCTTGCTGTCTGTCTGTCTGTCTGTCTCTGTCTGGCGAGCACACGTGTCCTATAGCAAAAACCTCTCAAAAAAAAAAAATTTAAAGAAAGTGATCTACTTTCGGTATTTTCCTTCTCTTAAGAAACAGCATGGGGGCCAGAAGATGGTATAGCAATTACGTTGCAGGACTCCCACATGGCCAACCATAGTTCAAGTCCTGGACCTGGTGTCTTGAAACTCAAGCCAGGTATGTGTGCATGCGTGCCCAAGATCTCAGGAGAAGAATGGAAGAGAAGGGATTATGGTATGGCTGTCCCCCCAGGGGGTGACTTCTGACTTTCCTTTTCAGTGTCTTTGTCTCTGTGCCCTCCACCCCGCTGTGAATCCATGCGCCCAAAGGCAAAAAGCCTCTGAAAAAGAAAAGAAGGGTCCGGTAAGTGGTACGGCAGTTAAGGTACTGGACTCCCACATGACAGATGATGGTTTAAGTCCTGGACCTAGTGACTTACTTTCTCACTTTCTCTTTCTCTCCATGTGTGTCTCTCACTAGTTAAATTTTTAAAAAGTTAATAATAATGACAAATAGAAGTAAATAAATAAATAAAGAAAGAAAGAAAGAAAGAAAAACAGCATGCCAGGGCCTGTAGGTGGTGTAGTAGTTAAGGCAGCAGACTCCCATATGGCTGATCACAGTTTGAGTTCTGGACCCAGCAGCTTGAAACTCACACCAGGTGCCTGCACATGCACGCCCAAAATCCTGAAAGAAGAATGGAGAAAGGATTGCATAATGGCCATCCTCCCTGCAGAGTGATTTATCACTTTCTCTGCTGTGTGTGTGTCCAGCAAGCACACATGCCCTATAGCAAAAATCTCTCTGAAAAAAAAAAAAAGAAGAAAGAAAGAAAGAAAAGAAAAAAGAAACGAAACAGCATGGGACCCCCTGGCGATATGGAGGTTAAGGAATTGGATCCCAGATAGCCAGCTGTGCAGTTCAAGTCCAGACCAGTGACTTGAAGAACGTGACAGGTATGTATGCATGTGTGCCTGAGATCCCAAGAGGAGCATGGAGAAGAGACTGTGGCACAGCCATTCTCTTATGGGTGATTTCTCAATTTCCCTCCCTTTCTCTCCCTAGCAAGTACACATGCCCTACAGCAAAACTAAAAAACAAAAAACAAAATACAAAAACAAAAAAACACTATAAGCTCACACTTGATAAGCCATATGACCTATAACAGATAGGCTTTACTAAAAGGGCCTTTGGTTTCAGGTATTCTAAAAAAACAAACAAACAAACAAAACAAACAAACAAACCAAAAAAACCACAATTCTAAATATATTGAAAATGATAAGCCTAAGCTGGCCTCATTAATTTGAAGGGATTAAAATCTTCACGAAAGGGCCAGCTGGTGTCATAGTGGTTGGGGTGGATGGATCCTACATGGCTGATTATGTGGTTCAAGTCTCAGATCCAGCAGCTTAAAAAAAATACCTAGAGCAACCAGCAGCTGATAAAATGGTTATGTTGCTGGACTCCCAAGTAGTTGACCGCAGTTAGAGTCCTGGAACCTGTGGCTTGAAACTCATGCCAGATCAGTATGCATGCATACCTAAAATCCTGAGAATGGAGGAGGGGGACTGCAGCATGGTCATACCCCCTGGGGGGTGATTTCTTGCTTTCTATCTCTCTATCTCTGTCTTTCTAGCAAGCGCACATGCACTGTAGCAAAAATCTCTCTAAAAAACAAACAAACAAAATAAACACACCTAGCAGGGGCCAGCAGGTAGCATGGTGGTTAAAGCACCAGACTCTTCTTACACAGTCAACTATGGTTCAAGTCCAAGACCCAGTGACTTCAAATTCAGGCCAGATACTTGAACATGCCCAAAATCTAACGAGGTAAATGGAAGAGAAGGGATTGCAGCATGGCCATTCCCCATGGGGAGTGATTTCTCATTTTCCCTCTCTCTCTCTGGCAAGTATATGCAAAATCAATGGTGCAAAATCAAAGGGGGGGAGGGCAACAGGTGGCATGGTGGTTAGGATGCTAGACTCCCACATGGCTGACAGCCGTTTGAGTCCTGGAACTGGCAGATTGCTTTCTCACTTTCCCTCTCTTTGTCGCTCTCTGGGCAAATTTAAAAATAGTAAAAAGTAAAATTAAATAATTTCTTTAGGGTGTGTGTACTCGCCCCAAAGACAGAGAGAGACAGACAGAAAACGAGAACTCACCCCTATGGGAATGGCCACACTGCAACCCCTTCTCCTCCATTCTCCTCTTAGGATTTTGGGCACGCACATATACATGCCCAGCGTGAGTTTTAAGCCACCAGGTTTGGAACTCGAATTATGTGGGAATATAACATAGCAGTTGACGATGTGGGGATCCAGCAACATAATCATTATGCCATCTGCTAGTCCCAAATAATTCTTTGGAAAAAAAAAAAAAGAAAGAAAGGAAAAGGCAAATAACAACCAAAAACATCCACACAGGGGCTGGCAAGTGGTGTGGTGGTTAAGGGTGCTGGACTCCCACATGGCCGACCACAGCTTGAGTCCCAGACTTGGTGTCTTGCTTTCTAGTTTCCTCTCTCTCGCTCTCTCTTGCTCTGTCCCTCTCTGCTCAAATTTAATATAAATAAGTAAATAAATAAAGTTAAGTAATTCTTAAAAAAAAAAAAAAAACCTACTACATGTTCATGGATGCCCAAAGTCCTGAAAGGAGAAGGAGAATGGAGAAAAGGGGATTGTAGATGATTTCTTGCTGTCTCTCTTTCTTTCTTTCTTTTTTTGCCACAGGGCGAGTGTGCTCGCCAGACAGACAGAGAGAGACAGAAAGCGAGAAATCACCCTCCGGAGCGATGGCCATGCCTCAATCCCTTTTCCATTCTCCTCTCGGGATCTTGGGCACGCATGCACACGTGCCCAGCATGAGTTTTAAGCCAACGGGTCTGGGACACGAACCACGGTTGACTACATGGGAGTCCAGCAACATAGCCATTATGGTAACTAACTGCTAGTCCCTCTCTTTCTTTCTTTCTTTCTTTCTTTCTTTTTTTTTTTTTTGGAGAGGTTTTTGCTATAGGGCGTGTGTGCTCACCAGAAAGACAGAGAGAGACAGGAAGACAGAAAGCGAGAAATCACCCCCGGGGGGGATAGCCATACTGCAATCCTTTCAATTCCTTCTCCTCCCAGGATCTTGGACATGCACGCACACGCGCCCAGTGTGAATTTAAGCCACCAGGTCTGGGACTTGAACTGCGGTCAACTACAAGGGAGTCCAGCAACATAGCCTTCATACCAACTGCTGGTCCATTTTTTAAAAGAAATAAGTATTTATTAATTTTATTTATTCATTCATTTATTTTAATTTGACCAGAGAGAGTGAGAAAGTGAGAAAGCAAGCCACCAGATCTGAGATTCAAACCTTGGTCGCCTATGTGGGAGTGTCTAGTACCTTAACCACCACGTTACCTGCTGGTCTACCTGTCTCTGTCTCTTGCAAGTACAGGTGCCATATAGTATAATTTTTAAAAGAGTCTTTAAAAAATGAAGCCTGTGGGGCCAGCAGGTGGTGGGGTGGTTAAGGCACTAGACTCCCACATGGCCAACTACAGTTCAAGTCCTGAACCTGGCAGCTGGCTTTCTCAATTTCTCTTTCTCTCTCTCTTATTCTGGTGAGTGCATGTGTCCAAGCAAGTAAAAAGGATAATAATAATGATAAGTAAAATTAAATAAGTAATTCAATTTTAAAAAGCCTTTTTTTTAAAGCCCCCAACAGATATCACAGTGCCTGGCACATCATAAGATCTCTACATAGTTCCTGGGACCAGCAGTTAGCGTAATGGCTATGTCGCTGGACTCCCACGTAGTTGACTGTGGTTCGCGTCCTGGACCCGGTGGCTTAAACTCATGCCGGGCACATGTGCGTGCGTGCCCAAGATCCTGAGAGGAGAATGGAGAAGAAAGGATTGTGGCGTGGCCATCCCCTCTGGGGGGTGATTTCTTGCTTTCTGTCTCTCTGTCTCTCTCTGTCTGGGAAGCATACGCGCCCTATAGCAAAACGCTCTCAAAAAAAAAAAAAAAAGATCTCTACATAGTTCCTTAAAAATATATATATTGTACATGTTCTTCTCATTTTGAAGGAAGTCAAAAATGTATCCCCAACAACACAACTTCAAGTTTTTTAAGAAAAGTATACTTACAACACTTCTATAGCTGTCTTACCTTATATTATAAAGAGGTTGTGTCTGATGGACCACTATGTTGCACTTTGGACATCTGTTACTATAGTAAAAATGTCTGACAATGCAGCTTTTACAAACTGTTGAATAAGAAAATGTTGAAATTAAGATGCTTTCAAGACACAAAACTGAACATAATATTCAGAAGTGTGCACGGTATACTTACAGGTGTGAAGACATTCTGTAATTGTAGTGGCATCTATCAAGTAACCTTTGCAAATGGAACACAAGATGTATGGGGTCAGCTCAGAGAGATTAATCAGGCGCTGCAAAGGCAATGGAAACATTTTTTAAAAAGGACTGCCTTCTCAAATTTTTAAACCATAGTCACGAATTTTCTTTACAGGGACCAGCAGGTGGCGTAGTGGTTACAGCACTGGACTCCCACATGGCTAGCTGCAGTGGAGTCCGGGACCTGGCCGCTTAAAAAATCACCCAGGACGCCTGCATGCCCAAAATCCCAAGAGGAGAATGGAGGAGAAAAGATTTCCATCTCACTGTTTCTCACTGCCCCTGTCTCTCTCTCTCCAGCAAGCCACACGCCCTATGGCGAAAACCTGGAAAAAAATTTAACTATAAACATTATATGACGAAATCGCAACATAGAAACTATACGCCACCATCCCTTCAAGATACTTCTCAAAGTTACAGTAACGCAGTGTAAACCAATGTTTCAAAAGAATCTCATTCTCTTGGATATATTGTATCCTGCAAGATGCCGGCATCTTCCTTACAAAATAAACTTTACCAATATTGGTGTTTAAGTTGAATAAGTTGACTGGTTAACTGCATTACCTAGCTTGATGAAGAATGCGTTCCCGAACGTTATAAACAAATGAGCTTCAGAATTAGAAACGGAACGGACGGGAAAGCGCTTACTCTCAACAACCTGCAGCAAGAGCCCATTTCCCCCTATGTGTGAGCTCCTGGGAGGCTCGGGACCCTGGGCGCCTCACACGTCTAGCCTCAGTAATTATGTATTAATATTTTCAGAACGAACGAGAGCCTAATGACCTGTAGCAACCTCACAAAATAAAGCCGGCAGCGACTCGGACCGGGACCCAGGCCTGCCGGCACCACACGCCTAAGGA